ACGTCCTTTGTGGGCCTAACCCTGTGGATTCGGCCCACAGAGAGACCAAAATATCTAGCCAAACTCACACGGGTTTCTGAAGTTTCCTCGTGGGAGAGGGAAAGAGAAGTCATAAACTGACACGCCTTCTGAATTTCCCAAATTACCCTCAACAGGTTTATGACCGTACATGCACAAGCACAACGGCCATCTATTCTTGTACAGTGTCATCATTACGAGTATTATATATATAAGAGGAGAGGACAACACGAACTTCTTCTCCTTTGTAGGCTTTTCATCTCATCTGCACATTGCTAGAGAGAGGAACAAATATTGGAGTGTTAGAGAGAGAGAGAAACAGAGATCTATGCAATCGAACAAAAGGCCTTCGTTTCGATTCAAAAGTGGTGGTGTAGAAACACAAATCGGATTGGATTTTTCTGAATGTTATTATGATTATTATGAGCTGGATTGATAAACTGCGACGTTCTTCAAATTTCAGCCGCTTCATTGCCGGCCTTTTGCTCTTTCTTCTTTATCATTCTTTTCAATTGATTTCTAATTTCCCCCTTCCTATACACCCGTAAAATAATACAATCGTTCATCGTTGTTCGCCATCAATTTGCATTGTTTGAATTTCGACCAAATAGAAGTAGTAAAAAATCGCTATTTTCTGGCATCACCGGTTAATGGATCTCAAATGTGATGATGACGATTTGCTCTCTAGCGATTTCTTTGACGGTTAGTATCAATGCTCCAATTTTCGAGTTAAAAATATCCGAATTTTATTAGTGATTGTTCAATCTTTGTGGATTGATTGCAGGATTGATGGTATTTCTTTCTGATATTTATATAAATGTTATTGTGCTTTATGTGAATCATTGATTATGGTTTTAGATGATCTGATTAACATATTTGTTGCTAACAGATTGTTTATTGTAACACCGTATCCTTAGATTTCTTTAGAGCTCTAATAAATGAAAATTTTGTTCCATTGTGCTGGGAATATGCAAAATACACTCATATTCTGAATGTCAGTGTGTTTTTTAACATTTGATTTTACCACCTACAAAATTGGAATGTTCAATTCTCACAGTGCATGAAGTTATTGTTTAATCTACCAGAGACGAATTAATTATTTACTTATCATGAACGTTGAGATCAAATGAAAAAGCTTAGTTAACAATATGTCAATGGACCTGGGGCATTGATACTAAGACCTCGGCCACTTATGAATTTGTAAAAAAACTCACCCACGGCACAATCGTTAAAAGTTATGGTAATGCAAAATTTCAATTAATTCCCATTGGTTGAAAATGAATCATAAATGTCCAGTATGAAAATAGAATTTCATGTTCGATACATTGTCCTAGTCCTAGTATTAAAAAATTCTAGCACTCTCAATGTTGCAAGTAAAACTTGACAAATTCGGAATGATCAGTACATAAGATGCATTCGTGCTTTAAATCACATCTTATTGCTTTCTTTGTATAGAATAAAATGTCGACCTCTCATAAACAGTGTTCCTGGATCCTGACTTCTTGACTGAAGATGGAAAAAATCCAAAGAACAAGTGTTTCACCATCTGATACGATGTGGGCTATGTCTACTCGTTCTTGTTTCTTCTAATATTAACATAATGTGCAGTTCCTTATTCTCGTACATTCATATTTGAGTTAATTATGGTTAAATCTAGGACTCAATGAGTTTCACTTAATTCTAGAGTTGTGTTTGAGTTCATTTATCAGTGATTTTCTCTCATATTCTCTTTGTTTTTCCATTTTTCAAGTGTGAGTGACGTGTAAATTCAGTTTCCATATTTCCCTTTTCTTTCTTTTGTTTAGTTTTGCTTATTTCATTTGAGAGAGATCAACACAAATTCATTTCCAGTGTCATTCATTTTTGTCTTCTTACTAGGCATTTATACCTCCCATGTCGGAAAGCAACACGGTGCATTGCCTTCTGTCATTGTTATTGGTGGAGGTATATCAGGGATTGCTGCTGCGCGTACGCTTCAAAATGCATCTTTTAAGGTGTTTATACCTTCCAATTAATAATTTATGAGTGATCATCTTTTTGTTTCTTTCCCTTCTGACAATGTCTCTCTTTTATACAGGTAATCTTGTTGGAGTCGCAAGATAGAATTGGCGGCCGTATTTGCACCGATTACTCATTTGGTTGCCCAGTTGACATGGGAGCATCATGGTAAGTCATATTATGATCTCTCTCTCTCTCTCTCTCTCTCTCTCCATATATATATATATATATATATATATACCGAGCAAGATATTTTGTGATAGCTTGTGTTGTTGCTTACTCTACATCACATCTAAATTTTCTCAATTAGGCCCTATTATTCCAAATGATAATGGAGAGAGAAGTAAAACGTGGAGGAACTCTGCGAAAAAATTGCAAGTTTTAAACAGAATCTTTCCATGTCCATCCCGATTTTCCCTGGAATTTTTCTTTCCCCTCAATTTCCCTTGATACAATGGAGGCTAATGGCCTAACAGATCTTCCCAAATATTTGACAGGAAGACAGTTTTCATCCCAACATCAGACTGAAAGTTTAATAGATACTTTAGGAACTCTTATAATTGGGGAGAATGGTTTTTTTTCTAAATTGAACGCTATGCCTACATTTTATATATTTAATAACTGGAGCTGCACTTTAGAAAGTGAAATACAAGTGCTTCACACCACCACTGATTAGCTTAAAGTACGGGTGGGCAAAATGACCACACCAAATCAGAACTAAACCAAATCGAGTGATACGGTTCTACAAAAAAAAAAAAAAATTAATAGTTCTGGTTCTTAGAATTGAGAAACATTTGGTTCTTGGTTCGGTTCTAATTCTAGAACCAAGAACCAACTCAATATTTTACATTTTATTATTATTATTTTTTGATAGGTTTATTATTATTATTATTTTTTTACAAATTAGTGAATCACAATTCACACCAAAAATTCAATATTCAAATGAAAATCAGAACAAAAATGTCATGTACCTTCGATTTCTCATTTTTCAATGTAGAGATTGGAGACCCTAATTTATTTTGAGTACCCAAATCCTAATTCATTTATCATTTTTTCCCATTTTCAATTTATACACCAACTCTCACATGGAAACCAACAACTACTGCCTCCAGTCTACCGTCGCGTTCGGCCACTACCGTCGCATGGATTTCTGAAATTGAAGCCAAACCTCCGGTTTTTCTTCCTTAAATGTTCTTCCTTTTTTTTCTCAATCAGTAACAAAATTAGAACCAAACCAAACTAAGCCAGAACTAAATGGTTCAGTTCCGATTTGATTCCATATCTTAAAAAAAATCATTTGGTTTTATTATCAAAAAAATTATTGATTCATGTTTCAGTTATCTTGGAATCAGAACCAAATAAAACCATGTCCATCCCTAGCTTAAAGGACTTCAAAAAATATGAACTCATTACTCAAATGACATCATTTGGCACTAAAGTAATTTTCCATTGTTACAGTAACTTTCTCGCTCTGCGTTGCTGGAAAGATAGAAATGACGGCAACTGTTCCAGTTCTTCACTATGCTAAACAGAACTATTTTTTGCATTGTTGGCTGTAATTCATTTTGTTTTGTAATATTGGAGCTTGACAATAAGCTACCAGTATCTTTCTTACCCGTAATTGACTTCTCGTGAATAATACTCAGGCTACATGGTGTCTGCAATGAGAATCCATTGTCTCAAGTTATAAGCCGCTTGGGGCTTACATTATATCGTACGAGTGGTGAGGACTCAGTTTTATATGACCATGATTTGGAAAGGTAATATATTGGACTTTTGTTACAATGTAAAATGTTATGTTTGGAAAGGTGAATAATACTCTTTTCTTTTTTTTTTTGGAGAAAAGTGTACAAAACCATTCTAGATTTGTAATACACTTTGAATATCATAAGGTCTTCCCTATATCTTAGCCTCTGTTTGGTGGCCTTTATTTCAAAAAAACTATGTTTTGAATAGTATTTTTCGGAGAATGTGTGGTTAAAAAGTAGGAAAAAGTTTTGGGTTTACATATAGAATATTTTATTGTATGAATGTGTGGTTGAAAATGAATATGAGAAATAAATTAAATTAAAGTAAAGCGAATTAAATGGAATCAAACAGGGGCTTAATTTATAGTACAGTTTCTGAATATTTTTTAAGCTTTTGACAAAGCCATATTTCATACTTCATTTATTTTCCCCTGGAAGAACAGTCTTGGACTAGCATGTTCTAATGTTGGAAGAGGTTAGGTGCCTTAAGAAACCAGCTTCTGATCTAACATGCATTACTTTTTATTCTCAAATGGGCAACGTCTACTTTTTGATTAATATGGTTGATAAACTTTTAAGAAAGGAGACAGCGAAAGCTTTTGCCTATGTCATTTCGGGCTAGTAGAGTGATTCTCCACCCTGTTTCTTTGCACATATAAAATTGTTATTTCTTGATTGCAAATCATTCGACACCCCCCATAAATGGATTTTGCTTTTGTTCATTTCAGTTATGCACTCTTCAACATAAATGGACATCAAGTTCCACAAAGCATGGCTATCGAAGTTGGAGATACATTTAAGAAGATCCTTGAGGAGGTAGGTTAATAACTTCTGAAATTTTTATTTGCATTGTTTTTCTATATGCACAAAAAAGGATATTGACTAATATTTTCTAATTCTAGATGGATAAAGTAAGGAATGAAAATTGTGATGACATGTCCGTTAGGCATGCGATATTGATTGTACTGGAAAGGCATCCTGAATTGAGGTACCAGAAACTAATGAATCTGTCTGAAGTTCACTTTTATGATGTTCTTTAAAACATGGAAATCTATTGTTTACACCTGTAACATTTGTGTCCTCAGACAAGGAGGACTTGCATATGAAGTACTACAGTGGTACATCTGTAGAATGGAGGCATGGTTTGCTGCAGATGCAGACATGATATCTTTGAAAGCCTGGGATCAGGTAAGTTGATATCAACTAGTTTAATTTCATTTCTTTCTCTTAACTATTAGTTGGCATCTGTTCATTCTTAGTACCTATGATCTCGTGGTATGTAATTGCTGAATTTCATTTGCACTGCATGTGTTTTCCTTTCAAAATGTTTCTTCAAAGATATCTCATTTTATATTTTTATCTCTTTTTTCATTTCGAAATATGCTATTTGGCATGGTATGTTTATGTTTTCACATAAACGTGTAAAAATTTGGTGTAACCATCAAAGCCAAGTATTTATGTATATATTACATATGATGCATAGTTGTTTGTTGGCTGTTCACATATTTTCTGCATTTTATGCATTTTGAAATATACTTTTTGGCATATTATGTTCATGTTTTCACATTTTATGGACACCATAAATTGAAATTTTGATGGAACTATCTATTCAATGTCCACTACTATGTAGCATTGTTTCTTAGATTGCGATGGATTCATTTGTTTGGGAAAATTGAATATTATCAATTTACTTGGATCATTATTTATTTAATTTTTTTCTACACTGTATTTTCAGGAGAAAGTTCTTTCTGGTGGTCATGGACTGATGGTGCAAGGTTATGACCCTGTGATAAAGTCCTTGTCAAAAGACCTCGACATCCGCTTAAATCACCGGTATGTTCGTGAATTTTCTGTATTATAGAAATTTTATCATTTTCTTCTGTCTTGAGAATATTCAGCATGTTATTGACACCTATTAATTTGAGATCCGAAGACCACTTAAATTTCATATTCATGGATATAATAATCATCTAAAACTATTCAATCGAGTCTGAATCTCAGATTTTCATCGTACAATTTTAACAAAATTATGGTGAACATAAATATTTTGGTGTGAAGGTATGGCAAGGAAAATCTTGTCCCACCTGCTGCTGTTTTGTATTTTCTTCATAATTTCTGGGACACAGAAAAAGAGAAGAAAAACTGAAGGATTGAAAATAAATTCATCTGCTTCCATCAATTGACTTCCACTAAAAGTTCTTCTCAGTTACCTTCCCTTGTTCCCCTTCATGCTAGTTCTGCACTCATTCTTACTGAATAAATTTCTCACTTCTAGGGTTAAAAGGATTGTCAGTGGATATAAGAGAGTGGTTGTCACGGTTGAGGACGGGAGGAAATTCGTTGCTGATGCTGCAATTATTACTGTGCCACTAGGGGTTCTTAAAGCCAACTTGATTGAGTTTGAGCCTAAGCTGCCTGAATGGAAGCTTTCTGCAATATCAGATCTTGGTGTGGGCAATGAGAACAAGGTTGCATTACGATTTGACAAAGTTTTCTGGCCAAATGTGGAATTTTTGGGCATAGTTGCACCCACCTCTTATTCCTGTGGTTATTTTCTCAATCTCCACAAGGCCACAGGTCATCCCGTTCTTGTCTATATGGCAGCTGGAGCCCTTGCATATGACCTGGAGAAGCTATCAGATGAGGCTGCTGCAAATTATGTAATGTTACAGCTGAAGAGAATGTTTCCTGATGCATCTGAGCCAGTAAGTTAATGAATAATTTTTCTTCATATCAGTTTGGTTTTCTGACGTCTTGTAATAACTTTCTCATTTCTTCAAAATCACTCTTGACAAAAAAAATCTATGTTTGATACAACACAAGCCAGTAAAAAGATTCCTGATGCAACACAGCTGCTCTTTTAAGTTTCTCCTTGGTATGTATGCGCGCGCGCGTGTGTATATAAAAGTTTCTCTTTGATATGTGTGTGTGTGTGTGTGCAAGTATATAAAAGTTTCACACACACACACATACCAAAGAGAAACTTAAAAGTGTGTATACACACACACAGCGTTATCACTTCTCCAGTTTCCTATACTAATCTGAAAGAAAATCTAACTCTGATACAGCAAGTGGTACATTGACTGCTGAAATATGGTTTTACGTCTTTTAAAACACTTGTTATGAGTTTTGTATGCGGTGACTATTCAGCTGAGAGAGAGAGGAAGGGAAAGATAAAGAGAGATACAATTCCGTACACTAAGTGATCCCATTATAATTTTTAAGTTAAGAATGCATGGATGAGTAGTACCAGGGTTGGTTTTCTCTTGGGAAAAATTATTTGCAATCTCCTTTTCATAAATACTATTGCACTTGCTATGTTCTTTTTTTCTCTGTTTTTTCTGGATGGTTGGACTGATTTTTTAAATTATTCCATAAGGAAACATAATATTACCATGGCTATTTGAATTTTGATGCAAGTTGTTGAAAATACTTATCTCTGTCATAACATAACCAGAACAAATGCTGTTATTAACACAGCCTTCGAATGGTCCTTGACAGGTTCAGTATCTTGTGTCGTGCTGGGGATCAGATCCCAACATCCTTGGGTGTTATTCCTATGATGCAGTCGGGAATTCAGACGACATATATGATCGGCTTCGAGAACCTTTGGGCAATCTTTTCTTTGGAGGTGAAGCTGTGAGCCTAGATCATCAAGGTTCTGTACATGGTGCCTATTCAGCTGGAATTATGGCAGCAGAAAATTGTCAAAAGCATCTTATGCAGAAGCTTGGGAGCTTGGAAAGGATTCCAGTAGTGGCATTGAGAGACGAAATTGTTGAAGTCCCAGTTCCGCTTCAGATCTCTAGGCTGTGAGATCATTGCTGTACTGCCTGAATTATTATTTTCTTTGAAAACTTCTTCCAAATATACTGTTTCTTTATCTTCAAATGGCTAGTCATGCAAACAGCTAAAAACATTGTTTTGTTTGCCTGATTAAGTGAATGTTCAATTACAATTTTAATGAAGCATGAAAGTTATGTCATTGCTGCAAATGATGTGTGAAAATTTGGTCTTTCTGAATTTGATTGATATACAGTAAGAATAACAACTATAATCATTCTACTGTTTTTTGTTTGCTGAACCGAATTTAAATTGCAATGAGTTTGAACCTCTTTGTCGCAATTATGTTAAATCAACTTTTTTTGTCTCATTCTTATCTTCAATTTTTATTGATTACTACATCTTGTCTGTGATATAGGTTTTCATCTAAGGGCTTGCTTGCGAGTTTTGGGTACCGGCTATGGATTTTTTTGAAGTACCGATTTTAAGCGTTTATGAGTGGATCGATTTGAGTGATTTTATTATTGATTTTTAAAATAGCTCAATCCGTGTTTAAGAGTTTATTATTCACCATTTTTGAAAGCTTTTTAAAAGAATGAAATTATATATATGCACCTTAATGAAATTTTCAATTTATAATTTCTTGTATGATTTGTTTTTTTAAATGTATAAGTGATATTTTACTTTTAAGCAATTTTTTATATATATACGTTCATATTTAACTTTTAAGAAGTTAAGCATTTACTTAAATTTTAAGTTAATATTCACTTATAAGTAAATTTTATACTTTAAATAATTTTTACACAAAAATAATTTTTTGACATATAAGTAATTTTTATATTTTTATAAGTGAATTTTTGTCATTAATAGTATTTTTACTTTGTAAACTAATTTTCATACAAAAGTGATTTTTTATCTTATAAATAAATTTTTACTTACAAATATTTTTTAATAATAAATTAATTTTTTGCTTATAAATAATATCTAACTATTTTGTTTTTATCTACAAGTTACAAAATATTTTGATTGGAAATAATTATTTTAAAAATGGTAAAATTAGAAAATAATATGAGAAATTGCCAAAACTTGTCGATTTGATTGGTTGAGAGAAACAATCAAAATTACACTACAACTTCTTTAATTATTATCATAATTTAGATTTAGTCGTTATCTAAGAGTTTCGTTATTATTCAAATTTTATTTACTACATTATATGAGTTGTAAGCCTTGTGGCAATTAGTGAAATTTTAATTGTTGAGATTTCTTCAATTTCTTAAGTTCTCGTTTTTCATTTTTGAAAATCAGTGAGTCCAATTATCTCTATTCGTGCGCGAATCAAAGAGTTTGATGTCTAGATTTCTAGTATTATTATGAATCAACAGAAACTAAAGGCGATTGTGTTCAAGTATTCTTTTGGAATCAATAGAATTTTGATGGCTTGCTCGTCAATTATTTTTATCACTTCTGCTATGTTACATCAGTTGGTATCAGAGCTGCATTCGTTCTCGATAGTGTTCAAGGAACTCAATGACAAAAGTTATGATTATGATGATAAAATTTTCGTTCCTTTCGATCTAAAGAAGTTGATGGACATAGATTTGGATGAGAGCTATGATGATTCGTCAATTTTTGACAGAGAAATTGAAGAATCTTTGGATTTCAATTACGAAGGTCCTCTAATCTTTGATAAAGAAATTGAAGAATGTATGAATTTGTGTTGTGACAACTACGGAATTTCACTTATTTCATATGAAGAGCTTGATGTCAATGTCTCTAATAAATCATCCGAAAAAATCATTTTTGGTTTTAAATGCCACACAAGACAGTCGTGAATCTTAAGATGCCGCTTATAGTTCGAACTTCGTTCTAAGAGTTTTCTTTTATGTATTCTGCAAATTTATCGAGTAAATTACTATTATTACAAGAATTTGGATAATAACGCGGTACAATATTTGAGGACGAACCTTCGTCAACCAGAGGAGAATGATGAAGATTGAATATAGATCATTTTAATTTAAATTTTTGTATTGTATTTTAATTTATAATTAGTTTAGTCTTTAATTAGTATTAGGACTTTTAATTTTTTAATTATAATTTAAATTAGGATTTTAATTCCTTTTAAAATTATTCATTATTTCTAATTCTTATCATTATCTATATTTAGTTGTTATCCAGGAATTTAGTTATTATCCAGATTTTATTTACCGATTTATATACGAGTTGTAAGTCTTAAGACAATTAGTGGAATTTAAATTGAAATATGAGATTTCTTAAATTCTCGTATTTAATCTTTAAAAATCAACGAGTCCAATTCTTTGTATTTGTGCTCGAATCAAAGAGTTTGACCCTAAATTTTTGATATTCTTAGAAATCAACTGAACCTAGAAGAGGTGATCATGTGCCAGTATTCATTTAGAATTAACGGAATTTCGATAGCATGTTCGTCAAGCATTTCAATGGCTTCGTTATGCTACATCAAGTGACATGTTCATGCTCCATCATCCGAGGCTAAATTCCTCATCCAAGGTTCAACAGCATCGTCGCACTTTGCTAAGGTTATGCCATTAGTTGATCTTGATCTCAACTTGTTCAATTAGTTCTTACTTGCATCAAACATCATCTATGAAAACTTGTAATATTCTTGTTATGGGCTTAAGCTTTTGGTTCATTTTTTCTTTCGTTTGTCTTATTTGAAAGGGAAGAACTGAACTCATGCGAGTTCTTGCTAGGCAATGGCCCTATCTCCTCAAAAAGTTAGATAGTAGGTAGGCAAAATTTGTTTGTAAATATTTCCAAAATTAAAGACCAACATTAGTTACTTGTTTGGTAGGTTAAATTATGTTAGATTTTACAACACTATGCAAGAAAAAAAGATTAAATCTTTTTCTCATTTTACTGTCGAGAAACGCATGAATGTGCCTTGTCGATTTTTTAAAATTTTGTTCTAATTCAACATCCCACTTGGGGTCTTTGTCCCTTTTCAATTTCTTAAATACTTGAGAGCTTTCATTAACTGGTTAGATATTCTAAATTAGGTTTAATTCAACCCCTGGCTGTTATTTGGTCGAAATAATGTTTTGAATAATAAAAATTTGAGGATAATGTGTTGTTAAAAAGTAAAGAGAAATTTTGAGTTTACGTATATAATATTTTTTTGCCTCTACTTCTACATATTCATTTTCAACCGCACATTCACGCAACAAAATATTCTGCACGTAAATCTAAAACATTTTCCTACTGTTTAACCACACGTTCTTCTAAAAATTACTATTCAAAACTTTATTTTACACAAATAATGATTATGTTAAAAAAAAAAAAGAGTTTTCAAATGATGGTTATGAAAACGGGGTTTAGTTAAGCCAAACTTGTCATAAAACAGACAAATATCATTGAACTATGTCTGTCCATTTTACAATAAAAAAGATGCTGACTGATTTATATCCACATAAAAGCCATTAATTTGTACTCTCTCACAATGAAAGTGTCTCCAATTATATTTTCTGGAGCAAATTTTATCCATGGAATGAGCAGCCTTAGTGAGTCGTGACTAGACATAACTTGAAGTACGAACTGTATAATGCAATTACTTTTCAATAAGTCTCCTAAATAAAGAATATTATCTACAAAGCAAATTATGCAACTTCATCGATTTACATATTTAGTATGTTGAACTACTAAAATTGGATAGTTATTACTTGACGTTAAATAAGTTTTGGTTGGTACGTACTTTTCTCTTCGATATAACTGCTAGATTAGACTGACTCATATGGTAATATTTTTTTAATTATTTTTTCCTTGTGAGTTCATCGGATCTAATTATTCAACTTAGGGTACTGAAACTTACTATAATATATGTTTTTCTCCTTGTGATTCATCATTGAGTCCAAGGAAACTAGACCCCATAATGTGAGCATTTTCCCTCCATATTAATTGTTCCCCATAGAAAGAACAAGATGTCATTTCTATCTAAAGATGTAAGAAATTGTAAACATATTTAAAGACAAGATAAAAAAGTTCACACAAAATGAATAAATTAATCATATTAGGGTTTGATAGAGATAAAGTTCTATAAAATTCAGTTAACTTTTTCTATTATTGTCTTAAATTAATTGTATTAGAATTATTTCACACAAACATAAATCTAGTAGGACTATCATAGGTAACTTAAGAACATTGTCGATACAAAAAAACAAATTCAGGTTGTTCCATAAACGTTGCAAAAGGTCTTTTTCGCAACGTTCTTCTAAAAAAAATGTTGCCAAAACTTATTTATAATGATCAATGGCAACATTTACTTACTAAAATGTTGCCAAAAGACCTTTTTGACAACATTTATCAACAAATGTTGCATTTTTAATGTTGCAAATAATGTTTTTTGGCGTAGTTATAGGGTTGACATTATATCGTACTGATTTGTGGACATGATCTAGTGGGGACAAACTCCATAATGTATTCAAGCTAAACATTATGTTTTGTTGCAATACCATTAAAACTAGACATAGTACAAAAATATTGATTCAAAGACAAGATGTGCCTCTTTAGGGCAACACCATACTTGATGGAGACCGTTAAAACGAGAAAAAGAAAAAGAAAAGAAAATGTCTTAATATTACAAAATTATTGATTCGAATACACAATGCACCTTTTAGGGCGGCGCGAAACTTGAAGGAAGGAAAAGAAAAGAGAGAGTGTTAATACACGAGAATTTATACAAATTAGATGTTATATTACTAAATTGAGAAGAAATTGAAACTCAAAAGTTGGGAGTACATTGATTTTCTCAGTTACATTTGTGTTAAAAGATTAATTTCCGGTGGCATTATTTCACGTGTTAATTTTAAAGATTAGCAAAATAAATGGTTCCTTTGAGATAGTCAATATTGGGAGCCAATTTTCTGAAGACATGTTTCCTTTTGCTTTCAGAAAATTGTTCTGATGTAAGAATTTATTCCAATAATTTTCAATCTAATCTTTAATTATCTGTATAGAAATTTTACGTATGCATACCACCAATTCGTTCAATAATATGCTTAATTTTATTGCACATGGAAAGATAGATACAAGTCTCTTGACAAGCAAGTCTCAACTGAGATTTCTGAATTACAAACGAGACGATGCCAGAATCCGCGACCGAGGCTGATTGTAATATTTGGGTTGTTCCCTGTTAACTTGAGTTGACTTCTTGTTGGATGAATTTCCATTCTCTGAAATTACTAAAGATTTTGCCGAAGCTCTCAACTCAAATTTCTGAATTTTTCCTGTGGAAGTTTTAGGTAAATCTTCCACGAATTGCACTTTCTTTGGCACCATAAAATGTGGCAAATTTTTACGGCAGTGCTGGATAATATCTTCTTCTGTAACATCCCCATGATTCTTTTTAATGGTGACAAATGCACAAGGGCTCTCTCCCCACATCGGATGAGGCATGGCCACCACCGAGGCATCGTGCACGCTAGGATGCCGATACAGCACCGTCTCAACTTCTACG